TTTGGAGCTGGAGCAGGTTTAGTCTTGGGTTCTGGCTCAGCCTTTGGTGTTGGAACAGGTTTAGGTTTGGGTTCTGGTGCTGCTCTTGGCTTGGCTTCAGGCACAACCATTTTGGGTTCTGCTGGAATCTGAGGTTTGGGCTCATCTTCAACACAAACATAAGCTGATGTTAGCATCTAAAGAGCATGAAGACGTTCTTGAAAGAATGTGAAGATAAAGACTGAAGAAGAATAAGATTATCAGAAGTCCAACAGAAAAACAGACACGACAAAGTCCAAACAGAACCAAACAGAACCAGACAAGGTTCTATGATGAAGATCTTTGAACACAGACAGGAAATGCAAACCTTTGGTTGGCAGCTGAGGTTTCTCTGCAGGCGGAGTGGGAACAACGAGCGGCTTCTTCACCTCCTCTGGTTCTGGACACAGTTAAACAGAACCAACTCATAGAACTCAAATTAGGACTGGACCAGCACAGTGAGAACCGTGAAGGCACGGACATGGATATGAAAAAGTTCAGCAGGACAACGATACCTTTAGGAGCTGCAGCTTCCTTCTTCTCTGGGACTGAAACTACAGGAACCTTTTTCTCCACTGACTCCCTGACCTCCAGTTCTGTAAAAAATAAAATAAAATAAAATAATTCAGAGTGTGGAACATTGAAGAACACAGAAAAACTTTAGCAGAACAAAACCCAGGAACCAACAGATGGACCCATCACTGATCGTGTTGGTACCTCTCTGAGGTGTCGGCTCCTCCACAGCTGCTCTCGGCTTCTCTTCCGACTTCCGCTCCACTTTGGGATTTCAAAGACATCGTTGATGTTAGCAACCAGATGACAGCAGAAGATACAGAACAAGAAGCTGCAGCAGATCATTTAACAGCAGCTCAGTTAGTCCACACAGAAATCACTCTGCTGAGGAGACTCTCAGAGACCTGAGTACTCAACAACTCCATCTGCTCTACATGTAGATCTTCACTGGGCTGCTACCTTCAGTGGATCATCTGCCTCCATCTCCCAGCATCCTCCTCTATCACTCCAACACTCCATCAATCAACTTTCTCTGTTCCTACCTGGCAGCTCAATATTCAACTTCCTTTGTCCAATATGTCCATTGTCTCTCCTCTGCATGTCCAAACCATCTCAGCCTCGCCTCAAGAACCTGAGCTGTCCCTCTGATTCGTTGCTTTCATCTTAGTTGCTGTCTTTGCCATTTTTTAAACTGTTGTTTTAGTCTTTTCTGACTTCATCTTGGCGGTTTCCTTAATCTTCTTAGTCGTTGTCTTTCTCGTCCTTTTTGTCTTTTTTGTTGTAGTTGTATTTTTCTATGACTTCTTTCCAGTCTTCAAATCTCTTACGTTCATATTTTTCTTAGCTGGATTTGTCTTATTTAAGACTCTGTCAAATTTTTGTCATCTCCTTGGTCACATTCTCCTCATCGTTTCTGTCTATGGTGTCGTCTTCATTTCCATGTCATAGTTCTTTTGTCCTATTTGTCCTTATTGTTTTTTTTTCCCAACTTCTGTGTTTTTGTCGTCTTTTTCTTTATCGCCTGACATTATAGTCTTGATCTCCTTTCTTGTCATACTTGTCTTTATCTTTGTTGTTTTCATCTTCTTCCCACTTCCATCTCCTCTTCCACTGTCTCCAACCCCCCACCCCAGAAACTTAACCTAAGACCCAAACTTTTGCATATGTGGATGCCATGTTGTCCACATATGTGGATGCCAGGTCCTAGGAGGTTAAAAGCACTTCAGGATCTCCACTCAGCTTCAGACATTAATGTTTATGTCTATCTAACAGCTTCACTGCTCCACCTGCCTCCCTCTCAGAACATACCTCCACCTCTACAGATTCCCTTCCACCTGCTCCCTACTCTCACTACGGATGCTGTCTGCAAACATCATTCAGGAACTCATGCCTGATCTCACATCTACAGATAAAAGACTAAAACTAAAAATGGAAAAAAACAGATGAACAGTTGAGATTAGGACGTTTAGCTGCTCCTTGGTTACGTTCAGCTACTTCTTACCTTTAGTCGGGATTTCCTCCCTCAGTTCAGCTTTCTTGGTCTCCACCTTCTCCTCAACGGCAACTCTGGCAGCTGAAACACACCAAGAACCAAGACAGAGATGATCATCAGGGTCTAAAAAACAGTCACGGTGTCGAGAAACCTTTGCAACATCAGAAGCAAGGTGTAAAAAATATCTGCTAGATGTAAAACTTGTAGAAGAATTGAAAAAAAAAGTTAGAGAAGCCGAAACAAATCTGACCCCAGAGCAGCGTTAAAGAGTAAAAAGAGGTTAATGAAGGTGAAGAAAAGACAAACACGTTGAGGACCAGTCAGACGGATCAAAGATACCTTGGATCTCAGAAACCTGCTGAGTCGTCATCTTCTCTGTCCAGCTCTGAAGCTCCACTGAAGGTGAAACCACCACAGAAAGGTCAGAAGATTCACGTCAAACACAACAGCCGACACTCCAGAGGAGCTGTGTCTTCCTAATGTAACCATAAAACTCTGACTGCTTAGAAGCACACACAGTTACATTAAAGTTTAAAGATGTAAAACAAGACTGAAGGTCTGCAAGATGAATGTTAACAACAAACAAATAAAGATGTGGAGCTAAAGAAACAAGAGGATGGAAAGCAGTCTGGGTGAAACGCTTCAATCAGCTGATCGTTAATGATCCTGATATCATCAGCTCATAAAAACAGCCATGAACGAGTCAGATTCACAGATCTGAATGTTTAGGATTCAGGCTTTAAGAGTTAAACAATGTCAAGTTTTCAATCCTTGTTGGTTCTTGATTTCAGGTCTGAAAGCAGCTGTTCATCCAGATGTGCTGAGATGTTTGGGTGGTGACGTAGAGGATGCTGTACCTTGCTGCTGCACCTCCTCTTCATACTGATACGAATAGTCGGTCGATTCTTGTGGAGAAGAACAGAAACGTTGAGTTCTCGTTGTGAAAACGCAAACTTTTTGTTTGTTTTAATCGTGTTAACAAGTCGGTCCATCGTCAGAATAATACAGAGGTTATTTATTGTGTTTTATCTATAAATCTTTAATTGTGTGAACTTCTGTTAGTCGATGTGTTTTATTCGGTTGAAGACTAAAAACAAAAACAGAAATACCTCTCTGTTCGATCTTTTCTTCAAACTGATAGAGTTCAGTAGATTCTTTAGAGGACAAATGATCGTTAGCTCCAGTAAAATCCAAGAAGGGGCATTTTTTTATTGGAATCTCCGATAAAAAACTGATCTTACCTCGGATGTCCACTGACGAGGGCACCTCGGGCCTCTGAACCGAGGAGTCAGGGATATCTACGGAACATCCAAAATGATCAAAATCTTTTTCACTTGAAAAAAAGATCTGTCTCTGAATTTAATGCAATAAAGAAAAATTTGTACAATTTATGAAGAATGATAAAAACTATTTTAGAAATTGTAATAAGTAGTCTTTTAGTGTCCGCAAGTGATTTATGAAATTGCCAAACTCAAATGATCAGTTTTTCTGTTAATAATTTTACTCATGTTTTAAAATCTGAAACATCTAAATTATTTTTTAACACAATAGGTAAAAGTCCGAAAACACAGATGTTTTTAACAGTTTGTTTTCAGGCCTGTTTATGAACCCTGGGTCCTTAACATAATTTATTTATTTCATCACAGGCTCTGTTTTATAAGTATGGGTCACAAAAGCACATTATCTTTGTAATGTTAAGAAATAAAGCACATCTTGATCTTGCAGGGTCCGAGTCGAGTGGTAACCGTTTGGTACCCAACTGTTACGAAACCTTAACCCGTGGATCTGAGGTGGGGACATATCTGCAAAGATTTCCTAAACTTTGACGCGTTATTTAAAAAGCTGTTCCAAACATCTCCCCGCTGATTGAAGACGTTTCATAAAACTAGCAGACTCACCTGTCGGCACCATGGCTAACTCGATTTCTGTAAAAAAATAAATAAAGTTTGTGTTAAAACTCTGAAGCAGCCGGGAGCTGAACAGAAGCACAAAAGGTTCGGCCTGACTGAAAACTGTACCTTTGGCAGATAAATAAAGCTCAGCTGTGCTCTTAGCCTCTCCTTTGGGCTCCAACCTCACAATCACTGAGTATACGCCTACATGGGATTAGTAATGAACACTCAGGTCACAGAGAACAGCAAGAGGAGACAATCTGCAGGGCTTTGAGGCGGCCTCTATGGGGTGCTACACACCTTCATCTTCGATGGTCACATTTCGGATGACCATGAAATGTCTTCGGCCCTCACTTGTGAAGTTGTACTTAGGGCTTTCTTTCAGTTCCCAGGTGTCTTTGTACCACGAAACAATTGCGTTGTCGAAGGACACCTCACACTCAAAGGAGGCCGACTGTCGTTCATGGACTTCGATGTTGTGGATGCGTTTGGTGAAATGAATTTGTTCAGCTAAAACAAACACAGATGTGAGTGGGTAAAGGTGGCCGTAACTGTCAGATTTCCTCTAACACAACATCCACACTGTTAGAAATGACCATCAGATGATGGTTGACAGGTCATTAGGATGACTGGCTGCTGGGGGGACGATGGAGTCGATGTAAAAAGACAAAAACTGAGACAATGGAAGCCATTTTGGCAAGATGATGGTGAAAAGTATTAAGAAAATGGGAACACGTCCAAGAAGAAAGTGAAAAAAGAGATGAAATTCAATGAGTTCAAAGAGGTTAGTAATCCAGCACGTCTACAGGAAGGTTTCCAGGTACGAACCTTCCACCCTGAGCTCCGCCGAAGACTCCAGGTGCCGGTACCTGCACGAGTATGTGCCCTGGTCTTCGGGCTTCAAGTCTCGGATCAGAAGCTTCTGGACCTTGTGTTTCACCTCAGATGAGTACCTGCCCTTCATCTCTAACTGCAGGCCGTTTTTAAACCACTGAGCCTGAACATTAGGAACGGACAACTGACAAGACAGCGTGCACGGCTGGCCGTCCTTACCCGAGGTGTCCTGCAGGTGCCTCTCCACCTCCACCTCTGAAACACAAACAAGGAGGGAGGTCAGAGTATTTACATCACTAGGCAGGTCTCCAATGATCAGATTTTAATGAACAGTCTTGTTCTGATGGATCTAACAAGTGTGGTGCAGCTGCAGAACTTTGGTACCGACCTGTGACGGTGAGCTTAGCACTGGAGATGTGTGGTCCACACACCACTCGGTAGTTGCCCTGATCCAATGACTGACAATTCTTGATTCTGAGCAAGTGGCGGTCGCCACTGATGCTGATGTCGTATTTGTCACCGTTGTCCAGTTTCTGTGTGCCCTTGTACCAGGACAGTGTGATCTCTGGGTAGTTGATCTTGATCTCGCACTCGAACACCGCGTCCTCATTGGTGAAGACAGACTGGTTGGAGATGTCCTTCTCTACAGTGACGGGCTATTACAGGAACAAGACAAGTACTTGACTGAGATTCAGGTTACTGACAGAAGCATGGACATTTTAACTTTTGAAAACCTGAACAGCCCAATCAATCAATCAATCAATCAATCAATGAACTGATTGGGTTGAATCGTGGACTATTTCTGACCTCTGTCCTCTCCATCCTCTTCTGCAGGTCGGCCACCAGTCGGGCCATGTCCTCATCAGACTCTCTGTCTCCACGTTCCATTTCCTGTCAACAACGACAGCAGTGTTACTCAGACAAACTCAGACATGGAGGCCTGGGCAGACTGGGCGGAGCCTCACCGGTCTTCCACTTTCTTCAGCCTTCTCCTTCTTGAGTTGCTCTATGGCCTGCAGCAGACCTCTGTAGTCAGTGATGCCGTACATTCTGGCATATTTCTCATACTCTTTGGGGTCAACATTTCTCAGCAGCTCAACAATGTCGATGGCCTTCTCCTCCTGAGGACTCTTCTGCTTTGACGGTGTCCTGAAAAAAACGAGACATCAAGAGTTTAGAAAGATGAAAACTACAGCTGAGGAACAACCTGGAGTCTTTTGTCTGAAGAACCCACTTCTTCAGTTTGGCTCGGAGGTCTCCTTCAAGCTGCGGCGCAACTTTCTTATCGTCCACGTGCATGTCCGTGCTGCATTCGATTTCTCCATGCCTATTGGAGGCAACGCATCGGTACTGACCCGAGTCCGACTTGGTCACCTCTTTGATCTCCAGCTTGGCTTCCTGACCTTTCTGCTCAATGGAAATGCGGCCGCCGTGCGTGAGCTGCCGCCATTTTCCTTTCATCCATTTCACACTGGGGATGGGGTCCCCACCCACCTTGGCAATGAAGGTGGCAGTTCCCTCTGTGGATGGCCAAGGGGGCAGTTAGAACAGGAACTACACGTTTTAAAAGTTTTCACACCATATTCAGGGTCTTACTCTCTGTGACGTGCGCAGCTTTAGGCTCCTCTATGAAAAACAGGTTCTGCAGTTTTTTGGTCGGCGCGGCTGCTGGGGCTTCAGCAGGAGGTGGAACTGCTCCTGGTTTCTCTGAAATACAACCAAATATGACAACTTCTCCTTCACTAACAATAAAATACTCAAACATGGACATAAGTTGTATTACACTCAGGTCTAAACTAAGCACAAAGCATAGATTCATATTTGTCAGACACTTCAGAAACATTTCAGATCTTACCTTTGACAGTGACTTTGGACTTGCAGAACTCGCTGCCAGCATCGTTGGTAGCCTTGCAGAGGTAATCGCCGGCATCATGTTTGGAGACGGGGCTGATTTCCACACAGGCCGTCCCCTCGGAGAAGCTGATTCTAGTGCTGCCAGCTGACGTGAGCTCCCTCCTGTCCTTCATCCACTGGATCTTCAGAGGAGGAGATCCGCACACATGACACCTGAGGCTCAACCGGTCGCCTTCATCTACAGCCACTGGTTTGAGTGGAACATCAAACACTGGAGGCTTCTTGGCGTCTGCAGAGGAGATAAAACAGACAGATCTCAGCTGGTTCTGCCAGTGTCAAGACAAAGCAGAAAAACTCTTTTCGTCTAATCAATCACCCTGAGTGACCTTTAAACCTCAAACCTACCGAGTATGCCCACAGTGATGTCGCAGGACGTTCTTCCAGCTTCGTTGGAGGCCTGGCAGGAATACCGGCCGCTGTCCGACACCTGGCTGCTCTTAATGCACAGAACTGTCATGTTGCTCTTAAAACTGATGTCATATTTGTCTGAAGTGAGGATCTCCTTGTTGTCTTTGAACCAGCTGACAGACATGGGCTGAGATCCGGTGACTCGGCCCTCGATTTTCACCAGTTTGCCCTCCATATCCTCGATGTGCTCTGAAGGCTTTTTGGTAAACACTGGAGGATTTTTGCGCTCTGAGAGGAGAAAGAAACATTGAAGTGTTTTTGTTTTTTTCACCTTCAGATGATTTTAGAAGAAACCTTGGATTAAATACCTTTAACAGTGATATCAGCCGAACACGAGTCCTTCCCAATGTCATTAGAAACATGGCAGAAATATTTTCCAGTGTCAGATTTATCTGCCTTCAGAATGCTCAGGTGGGGAGTGTTGCCTTCACAGCTGAGCTTATAGTTTCCACCAGAGCGAATATCTTTATGGTCTTTGGACCATGTGACTTTAATAGGGGCAGAGCCAGTCATGTGACACTCCAGTTCAATGGTGTCACCCACTGTCACCTCCAGTGGGGACAACTTCCTGTCCAAGACCGGTGCATATCTGGGTTCTGCAGAGTCATGAAGAGACAAGAAGAAATTTTTAGATGGAAACATTTCAACAGATTCAGAAGCTCCTCTGAGGTCAGCAAAGAGAACTAGGTTTGGGCACCAACCTTGCATGGTAAGTTTGGCTCTGCAGGAGGCTGAGCCCACGCTGTTGGTGGCCACACAGGTGTATTCTCCTGAATGCCTCATTTCTCCATGGGCGATCTGCAGCCCAGCAGTGTTGTCATCGTACAGCATGGAGAACTCACCTCCTTCAGTCAGAGGCTCGCCGTCTTTCAGCCATGATACCTCAATGGGTGATGAGCCAGCAACACGGCACTCGAATCGGACTGGCTGACCCTTTGTCTCCTGAAGGCTTGTGATCTTCTTCGGGAAGGATGGTGGTGTTTTGGCCTCTGAAGGAAGCAAAGACTCATTAGTAAGTGATTAGATTTTGATCCAAACCAGAAAAGATCATACCGAATTAAGGAAAACATACAGTATTGTAGAGTGAAGGAAAACGAGATGTTACCTAACACAGTGAGTCTGCAAGTGGAGGAGGCAGAGCCAATCTTGTTCTCTGCCTTGCAGGTGTACTCTCCGATGTCAGCTTTGGTGGCTTTGCTGAGCTTCAAACAGGCCACACCTTTCGAGTACTCCAGCTTACAGGTAGGGCTGGACCGGACCTTACCATCAGCCTTGAACCAGGACACCTTGATCTCAGGTGTGCCCGCCACTTGACACTTCAGGCACACAGCATCACCTGTTGTCACCTCCATGGGTTCCAGAGATTCCACGAAGTATGGTGACTCTGTTAATGAAAAAACAAGCCCATGACAGTGATAGCACTTACTGATCAGAGACATACTGCAGCATCCTCCTGAGGTTTATTAGAAACTAATAATTCCTTTTTAGAACCAGTTGCATTCAGCATGAATCTCATTTGGGTCCAGACTACCATTTAAAGAGAAATCAACAAGACTCACCCAGGATAGACACAACAGCCTCGCTTGTGTCTTTTCCAGCGTCGTTTGACACCTGGCAGCAGTACGTTCCTGCAGCTTCCTTGTCATCAGTGCTGAGACACTCCAGGATGCAGGAGCTTTCTGTTGTGGTGATGTTGTATCTGTATGAAGCAAAGATCTGCTGGCCGTCTTTGAACCAGCTCACTGTGATCTTTGGGGTCCCAGTGTAGGAACATTCAAGGGTCAAAGGTTTTCCCTTTTCCACTGAAACGTCCTTCAGCTTCTTAGAGAAGGTTGCCGGCTCTGAGACACAAAAAACAAACAACATTTTAGTCTCAATTCTGCTGTAAAATGAGAAAATCATTTGACAATCTCATTACTGATGTTGTTTAAATATATTTTTTATTTATTTTCAAAATCCTTCTGCCCAAAGACAGAGCAGTATACCAGTAGCATTTAACAGGTTCTACAGGTACCAGTACAGTTTGGTACAAACCAGAACACATTTCTACAGTTTTAGCTTGTCTGCACTTTTTAAAACTGTTACAACCACCCTTACAACCATGACTAGCCAAGCTTTGATTGCTCCCTATCACACCAAAAAAATGTTCACTCTGCTTGTAGAGTCCCCAGGAACAGAATAAGACGTAGACCTAAGTGAAACCAAAGTATTTGGATCTAAGCTGCTTCCCAGACAGAACCAACAGCCCTGTTTCCCTCCAGACAAACCTTTGACAGAGCCCCATTTTCTGTCTGACTTACCTTTGACAGAGAGGTTTGCAACGCAGCTTTCCTTTCCGGCGTCATTAATGATCTGGCAGGTGTACTCTCCAGTGTGAGATCGGTTCACGTTGAAAAGCTCCAGGGTAACTTGGTTATCCTTCAAGGAGAAATTGCAGTCCTTTCCTGGCAGGATTTCCTTGGTTCCTCTGAACCACTTAAGTGTGAGGGGGGTGCTGCCCTTCACCATGGCTGAGAAGGTCATGTTAGAACCGGGCATGGCCTCCATTGGCTGCAGTGGAACCACGAAGGATGGAGGTTCTGAGAGTAAACACAGAAATCAAACATGGTGGGTTAAGATGGGAGTTGAATTTAAACAGAACCAAACTAAACAACCTGAACCTGAAATCAGAAAATTACAAGACAAAAAAACAAGAATACACTACGACTGAGATGATGAAACAGGAGGTGTTCGTCAGAAAAAGGAGGTGTTTGTCAGTAACAGGAGGTGTTCGTCAGTACCAGGAGGTGTTCGTCAGAAACAGGAGGTGTTCTTCAGTAACAGGTGTTTGTCAGTAACAGGAGGTGTTTGTCAGTAACAGGAGGTGTTTGTCAGTAACAGGAGGTGTTCGTCAGTAACAGGAGGTGTTCGTCAGTA